TTTTTGATATTCATGATTAGAACAAAATTTGAGATGCTCATTTAATGTACATTCTCTTTCAAAATAATGTAAACATCTTTTGCAAAATTTTTCTCGCTGAAGATTTATCTGACATCATGAATAATAAATATTTTTTTTCTCCAATGCAGTAGATATCCTCGACTAAATATTTTATGTATTTTCGAAAGTTGAACGAGATCACCAATATTACATTTAAATGAATTTTCTACTTTCATACCATACAGCTTTTCAAAAATCTCACTGTGATGCGAAGGTGTAACAGAGACATACCGATAATTCTATGAAAAATATTATTGTAGCTTTTTACAATATCAGATAATTTATCGATATGTTTATAAAGATTACGATAAGTAAATAATGTATATATTTTATTCCGCAAAGTTTTATTTAGTCTTTTGACAACATCTGCTTTTGTATCAGAAGGAGGTTGAATAATGATTAATTTTAAATTTTTTAAAAAGATTTTTTACTAACCTATTATAAAACTCTTTTCCTTTATCAGTTTGTAAATTTTTGGAATGTTTTTTTAAAAATGATTTCGAAAGCTTTAAAAACCGACTGGGGTTTTTTATCTTTTATTGGTTCCACATAGCAATACTTAGTATATACATCGATTACTTTTAGTAAATATTTTACTCCATTATTAAATTTAGAAAATTGTTTTAATACAATTAAATCGGCTTGCCATAAGTCATTATGATAAAAAGTTTTAGTTTTTCTTCGTGATTATCTAATTCTTACAGGTTTATAAAGTGTATAAGTCGGATCAGAAGATGGCCATTTTTTAATAACTTTTACTAATTTACTTAAACCACCAAAAGATGCTGTATATTTAGGATTACAGTATATCGATTTCAAAAGTTTTTCTATTCGAAATTTTTCTTCCTCTTCCTCTTAGATTTTTTCCACTGGTGAAATATTCTCAAAGAGTAAATTTCTTCGAAAGTCTTGACCGATGCTGGTTGACACTGGGTTTTTTCAGGTAATGTTACCAAACTTTTGTTTCCAATCCACTCTTTAGAAATGTTTGTTTTCTTTAATCCGTTCGAAAATTCGTTAAAACTAACAGGAACAAATGCGGTTTTTCTATTTTTCATTACGTACTACATTAAGTCTACTATATTACTTTAAAAAATAGGTTTTCCATCGACTGTTAATTCACCTTTAGAATTCCATCCGTAATGACTTCGATTCAACTTATCAATTAAATGTAGTATATATTTTTGATATAATTGTGGTACGAATAAAATTATTTCTTTAATAAATGCATCATCAACAGTGATTATTTTCAGGATGAAATTCCGTTTCTTTGATTTTGTCAGATAATACAGACACTCTGACAGGTTCTTTTGGTGCATGAACCGTTCTCTGATATTATGAGATCAATTGACTTAATAATTTGACTTTACTATCATCAGATGAATCGCCATCGTCAAGTAATTCTTCAATATTATTACCAATTCTTATTTCAGGTTTTTGATATGCTGAAAGGAATTCAGGAGAGATGACAGCCATTTGCTTTACCATTTTTTCTATTACCTTATCAATTTGTCTGCCTGCCATGAACAATAATGGAGCCAGTAGAAGAGGAAGCAATCCATTCAATTGATTAACTTAAATTTTTTTCTTAGTATTTAAAGGAACATTTTTTTCACTTAATTTCCTGATAATCTTTTTTATATTTTTGTAATTTACGAACATCAGCAGGTATACTTCATCTTCGCAAATTATCACATATTTCACACAAAACTTTAATTTGATCGGGAGTAGCTTCTTTCAATATCTCTTTTCGATGAGAAGGAGTAGTCTTGGACAAAAGTACTAACATATGATAATATTTCTTTACGTTCTTCATTTTATTCGTAAGTATGTCCAAAAAAAATACCTTGTTCGTCGGGAAAACACGAATCTCTCAGAGGAAATTTCTTATTCGTTTTAGGATGAATATCTAATAAGAAATAAAAAAATTCCTTCTCTGTTGCTTTTTTATATGCATCCATAAAAAAATCGCATTTACCAGCAAAAGCTTGTCGCCCTAAACAACTTACTTGACTTTCATCACGATTATTTTTAAATAATATCAAATAATGCGTGTTTAAAGTTATATCTCTCATAATTCTATTTTTTGGAAACAAATTTTGCATTATAATTATCACGCTTACATTATAATGATGAGACTCTGTTGTAAACAAAGATGCAGTTTTTGAACTGAGTTTATGCATGAAATCATCAATTATTATTAAATCCCATCCTTGCACGGATTCAGGTAAATCATACATGAATGTAATATCTCTTTTCTTATGAAAAAAATGATTAATATATGGAATAACACCATAGAACATTATTTAATGTTTTTTCATAAATTTTGTTATGAATAATTTTTCTGACTAGTGTAGGCTTTCCACATCGTGAAGGTGAAAAACAATTATACAGTTACTAGGATGTTTGAAATACATACTCGTACTAATCGAAGTTATAAGCTTTAACAAATTTATAATGCTTTGTTCCGGAAATTATCTCTAAATATTAACCTATTCTTTTCGTTCTTTTCTATATAAACTTCATTCATAACTTCTGAACATTCCCCGAACAAATAATATAATTTTTTACAACCTTCATTAATTCTTCTATCCTTGTCAACAATTATAAAACCAAATTTTTCATTTCCTTTCCATATTTCGTCGTTAACTTTAAAATAACGTAAAACAATAAAAAAATTATCAAAAATATCGAACGAAAAATAATTTACCGCAGCAATACATATATCCAAAGACTTCTACAAACGAGGAGAAACAGAATAATTTCTATCGCCGTTGTAGGTAATAATAAAATCATGTGTCTCCATGATTGCGACTTTCGATCTTGGTATTAAAAATAAATTCTAATGTTCCTTAAAACTATATTTATATCAAAAACCGACCAATCGTATATCTTCTATAAAATCATTCATAATGAAAATAAACATTAGTTCATAAAGTGAATTAGAAAATATAATTAATTTTTAAAAACATTTAATAATTAAACTTATTGTTAAAATAAAATGAATTTAATTAAAATTTGTAATTAAAATTTCTCTTATAAATTAATTTTGTGATCAGTATGTGTTACACACTACTAATAGCGATGCCTACCTATCATGCCAGATAGCTTTCGAAAGTAACCTTCCAGCAAATTAGATAGAGTCCGCACAATACAAATGGGAATTTGAAACGTTTTCCAGTGTCTTTTACACTAACATGGATTTTATCTGTTCTCAAATAAAATTAAAATTTATTTATTCAAAATGATAGACTGTCAGTCTGTACAATTCATGCATAGAGTTGGTGTTTGGTCTTCAACAAGGTAAGTTGTGCTCTCCACTAGCTCCTGACAGTGTAAATTTTTTCTGTTTTTCATACGCTAAGCCTAGTTTTAGTCCTAGCTAGCTGTCTACAGTGTAAGAGTATAGGCAAGTAGGGTTAAGTTAGGGCTATGAAGGGTGTTAGGCTTAGGGCTGCTAAGCCTAACTTTTTATTCCATTTTTATTGGGATAGTTTTGATTTTTGGAGCAGGCCATATTGGCCTCCTTGGCTGTTCCAGTGTCTGAAGACAACAGTGGAAGCCATCTTGGATACTGTATTTGTGTTTAGTGTGTGTGTTCTTGGATTACAAAGTGTTATGTCATCTTTGTATCATCTGTGTTGTGACTGGCCTTCCTGTCTGTGTTTAGTGTTGTGGACACCATCATCTACTTTTTGTTTACTTGGAGGGACCCGCTAAACAGCAGACCAGTCCCCCCACCACCCTCCCAATTGCCCGTGCTGACAGGTGTCTTTATCAGCACTTGTTACAATTGGGAGAGCCAGGTAAGATTTACCTGACTTGGGGTAGGGGTAGGTACTTCCCAACCTTTAGCTGGGTTTCTTACAGCCAAGCTTTGCTTGGCTACTCTGGTCCAGCCAGGACCCTTATTGGCTCCTGGCGCAGTCTCTTCTGGTGTTACCAGACCTTTTGTGCAATATCTCAGCTTCGTCTGGACCTACCACCACCAAACTCCGGATACAGCCTCTCAGTGGATACTCCTCAAGGATTACTTAAGGACCTTCTCCTAGGACTAATTGCTCTGCAGCGCTCAAGGCTTGTGTCACTTTCCCTGCGAACCTAATCGCCGAACTCTTTGTCTCTTGTGCTCGCTGGACTTGGATACACTCGTACCAAAGGGTTACAAAGAACTATCTCACTCCTAGGTTTCTACTGTGGTAAGTAAGCCTTTTGTTCTTTTCCACCCAACCAGTTTCTTCCCCTCTGGCTGTGTCAGACTTTGTCTCCCTGGCCAGAGTCTTGCTGCCACTTGGCACCTTTTTTTTCTGATCATTATACTACACTCTACTGGTTGGTTTATCACACATCAATCATCAATCATGCCTACTCAAAGCCGATCTTCGGAACTTTCTGTGGTGGGGGCACCTTCAACTAGTGTTGTCGTTCAACCATTAGAAAACACTATCCTGGATGAGGCCAATCAGTACTTCTTAAAAATTCTTGACTTATTACCTGAATACAGCTCATACCTCCGCACGGACGAACGGAAGGAGGTACGGGAGAGACTTACTCGTATGTTCTCCTGCTTAGGCCAGTTCCACGGGATTCTGCGTGAACTAAGGTCAAACTATACGACGACTCAACCTCAAACCCAGGTTACTAAGGATACTTAACCACCTATTTCGTATGCTAGTGTTACCAAGATTAACACCAGGCCAAGCACCACCACGCTGGCCATCAACAGATCTCTCAAGAACAAAATTAATAATGAAGGCACTGGGGGAACTTTTGCAGTTATACTATACCCTAAAACGGACGANAAGATTAACACCAGGCCAAGCACCACCACGCTGGCCATCAACAGATCTCTCAAGAACAAAATTAATAATGAAGGCACTGGGGGAACTTTTGCAGTTATACTATACCCTAAAACGGACGACGAAGGGAATATCACTAACATGAACCATGTCGAAAACAACATAAAGAAAAACATCAAACCGAGCAATCTTAAAATAAGAGTCAAGGGTGTCCGGCAGGTAAAAGGTGACAGGCTATGTTTTAGAATGGATACCCACAAGGAAGCCCAAATTCTTGAAGATGCCATCAAAAAGCTTCCGGACATACCTAATCAAGTAAACTGTAGAATCTCTGAGGACAGGAGACCAAGGGTCATCCTCACGAATGTGCCAACCTCAGTGGATGAGGAGGACATTATCTCATACATATATGATCAGAATGAAGAACTACAAACGATAAACAGAGATGATTTCACAGAAAACACCAGGATCAGCACAGTTTTATTCAGAAGTAATAATAAAGAAAACTGTAGACATATTGTCCTCTCCACCTCTCCAAGTATAAGAAATGTTTTAGTCCGCACTAAACACATTGCCCTTCAATGGGCTAAAATCTATATCAATGACTACATACCCCTAGTTCGGTGCTATCAATGCTGTGGCTACAACCACCTCTCAGTTAATTGCCCAGCAAAACAAAAATGTAGCCACTGTGGTAAAGGGCACAGATTCGTAGAATGCAGAAGGCTAGATCATCCTCCCAATTGTGCTAATTGCAAGATGGCAAACAAAGATCTTCCAGATCAAGAAAAGTATCCAACCTATCACAATGCTTTTAACCCGAACTGTCCCATCACCATCAAGATGAAAGCCCTCACCATCCGTCAAACCAACTATGGGGTATAATCTCACTAATAACAGTCTGAAGATTCTCCAAATTAATTTACAAAGGTGCAAAGCGGCTACTTCTGACGCTCTCCAACTTGCAATCACCAAGCAAATAGATATCCTCTTCATCCAAGAGCCGTATACATACTCCAACAAGATTGCAATGTTCGGCAATCATCGAACTGTCTCTCATCAGGATCCCACTCAACCACCCAAAACCGGATTTGTCATCCTAAATGACCACATTGATGTTCAGCTCCTACCGAACCATAGTAATAACAGCTTTACCACGGCCAGCCTTAAATTGCAGAACTCCTCTTACATACTCATTTCATTCTATTGTCCTCCGACTGGAGATCTTAACGCCTCTCTCAGCCTTCTTGCTAGCTCTATCCAGCAGTTACAGGACTACCCAATCCTCATTTCTGGAGACTTCAATGCTAAGTCACATACATAAGTCACAGCCCAGTGGAGGATCCGAGGGGTTACATGGTGGAGGAGTTTATGAATCAGTACCACCTCACCTCGCTGAACACCAGTCCTCTTCCCACCTATTCCTCATCTAATGGGGAAAGCTGGATAGACATCTGCCTCGGGTCTAGCAAACTGGACATCAGCCGAATTCAGTGCAACACCATAGACACCCATTCTGTAAGCGATCACAGTTACATCGAGATGGTGATCAAACAGGACACTCCGCAACCAAAATACTGTATAACTCAACACACCAACTGGGATCTTTATCACAATCTAATTCAAGCCCACTGGACGCCTACTAACATCTGTAATTTGAACACTCCAGAAGAAATTGATCATACTATTAACAATCTGAACAGAGTGATTCACTCATGCTACATTCAAGCTACGACACCAAAAACTGTGAGACGGCACACCCCTTGGTGGAATTCAGACCTTGCAAAGCAAAGGACTGCGCTTCGAAAGGCTAAGAGGCAGATGCGGAGAGAGGCTGACACCCATCGTAAACAAGAATTGAAAACTGCCTATAGGACTCTCCTCGCGAACTACAAAGCCAACATCAATAAAGCTAGGAGCCAGGCTTGGAGAGACTTCTGCACTAAAGTAGGCAACAGGAATCCATGGTCCACACCGTACTATGTCGTTGCCAAAAAGAAAAAGAATCTTGAAATCCCACCATCAATTAAAACTAACAACAATGACTACACCAAGACAATATCCGAAACCTATCAGTATTTGATTGAAGAGCTCTTTCCGGATGATAATACTACCTCGGACAGTCAGTACCACTCAGACATCCGCAACAGTCTTCTTGATGATTATAATGGCCTTAACGACTCTAACTTCACATTCAAGGAAATCGCAAAAGAGTTTCACAAGTTAAAATTGCATAAAGCCCCTGGCCCTGACCACATTTCCACCAAAATGGCCAAGTTGGCTTTTGAGGCCATCCCTACCACCTTCAGTATCATCATGAATAAGTGCCTAGCTATCGGTTTCTTTCCGTCGGACTGGAAGCAAGCCTCCATAAAACTCATTCCGAAAAACAAGAATAAGACTCCAACTACGGCCTCAGACTTTCGCCCTATCTCCCTCCTGCCAATCATAGGTAAAGTCTTAGACTCTCTCCTCATAAACAGGATTATCTTCCATTATGAGAGTAATAAAATCATCAACAACAGGCAATTTGGCTTCAGGCGGGGCAGGAATACCATCGAGGCTATTGATAACATTCACCGCCACATTACTACGGCAAGGGACAATAAAAACCACAGTCTGATGGTTACTATCGATTTTAAGGGCGCCTTTTATCATGCTTGGTGGCCACCATCTTGTCAAACCTACGTTAAGATAAGTGCCCCAAAAATTTATACCATATTACAGAGAGCTATTCACAGAACAGGTTTATCCTGGTTGACACAGGCAACAACATCTGCCTTCGTAAAGAAATTCATAGGGGCTGCCCGCAGGGCTCGAGGTCAGGCCTATTCTTATGGAATATCCTGTTCAATAGCCTCCTGATGCTTCAATCCACATTTCCTACGGAGTACAACGGGCTCATCCAGGGGTATGCTGACGATACCGTCCTCCTGATGAGCCACTTCAACTACGAAATACTTCATTGTAACTCTCCTCTGTGGTAGTTAAAGGATTAAAAGATAGACTCAAAAATATATAATATTTTTTGTAAATAGTATTACCCACCATCATTATTTTATGTTTTTTATTTTCATGCCGTTTCAAACTTATATTGTGCTTATATTTTTTAGGACAATAGGAGCATATATAATTTTTTTTATTAGAATGACTAACTTCATGCTCTTTCAATTTTGATTGAAAGAAGAAAGTTTTTCCACATTCTAAACATATATAGAAATTTCTATTTTCGGATTCCTATTAAACAAGTAAGAATATAATACAGTAAATGTCGGTTTATCCAGCACTCGATAATCCGAAATGCAGGATAATATCAATAATATAATTATAGTGCAAACAGATAAAAAAAAATACATATCGAAAAGCGACACTTTCGTGTGTTCGATAAACGAAGTACTGTATAATATGCAGAATAAATTAAAAATTTACCTTACCATTTTAGAAACAGGTCTTGTCGGTTTTTAATTATTGTTATTGTTGGACGTTAGATTTTATTGTTAGATGTTATTGTTGGACGTTATTATTCCAGTAGTATATAAATGTTCCTACTGCCCCAACAATTTTAACGTCTTTAAAAGTAAAAAAAAATTAATTAAAATCAATAGTAAAAATTCAATGATTTTAAACAAAAATTAACACTGTTGAATTTCATTGATTCCTAATTTTTTTTATTTTAAGTCATCTATATCTATATATATAAAAATGGACATGTATGTTCCTTTATTTCACTTTTTCGCCAAAACTACACATCGCACGTGAATGGTGTTTGTATGTGGTAGTAGCCCCAAGTCTCCATTCGTACACTATGGGGGTTGCGTCTCGATAGCTATAAGGCTGCGGAAGATATGAGGCTGAAAGTGGTTGAAAGTGGTTTTCTATTTCGTATGTTTTGTTTGAATTTGTTCGAATTTAATTCGAACATAAAATTCGAATATTGGTTCGATTATAGAACAATTTGTGGCTACACGCCATATTTAATCATATATTTCGTATATAATTGTGTTATTTTATCTTGTATATTCCCCGCTTCACCTCTGTCTGTCCTATTTGTTTACCCTTCCTGGAATGTTCTCGTTTTTCTTTTCCTTGGCGCGGTGTGCGGGTGGGCTAACCCGAGAAGCAACGAAAGGAATGTAGCTCTGAGGGGAGGGAGCGATCGGGAGACTCGGAGGGGAGAACTCGAGTAGAGGAAAAAAGGGAGTGAGACGGGTAGGAAGGAACAGGAGGGGGAGAGCTAAAAAGAAGTCTCCCCGGCGAGTTTAGCATGTGAAGGTGAAAAGAGAACTTTGGAACGTGGAGAGCGAAAGGACATCTCCCCTGAAGGCTTTGCATCGTATTGTGAAAAGGAAACCTGTGGAACGTAGAAGAAAAAGGAACTCAATCGAAGGGAGCCAGAAGGATCAACCCTTTGGATTAACACCTCTACGTGAAACAAGAAACGGAGCTAACCTGTCCACAGATCAATGAGAAACCGCATCCATCAAGTTTTGGGTACCCTCTTTCCTTATTCTTTACTTTCATCTTCTAAATCTTCGAGTAAGCCGGCTATATAAAATAAGTTTAAGTAGTAATAGAAATATAGTAATAATTAAGATAGTTTTAAGTGATCGGATAAGGAACGACGCGCATGCAATCTTTGTCGGGTTAATGAATTATGTGGAGTATCCGTGGGATTAGCATAGTGGTATTCTGAGAACCTGTATCCTAAAAAGCGAGTAAATAAAAATTAATTGTGTTTCATTCATCTAATCTGGATTGTGCGTTTTTATCTTGCTCGCAGCTCTCACAAATTGTAAACGTTCAAAAAACGTTGAAAATAGTTTGTTTAACTGGACGTGAACAGCAGACGTTCAGAAATAGAATCGGGACCAGGTCTCTAATTAGTCTGGAAACGGGGGACCTAATTCTTGCATTCTGTGAAAAAGGGTAAGATCGGCTATAATGCATTATCTTAATCTTCACTATCGTTACTTTTTGCCCAGCGAAGCGGGTCCTTGCAGCTAGATTCTAGATTACTTAGAAAAGCAGTCTTTTATATATATATGTTACTGTGAATGACCGAAATCTGGCGAATGTCAACATTCACACAGTCGTTTCGTGTATGTCCGAAATATTTGCTAAATATCGTTATTTCTCACTTACACTGGCAAATGTCGACATTCAGAATGCACTGATGGTGAATGTTGAATAAAAATATTTTTATTACATTAAGACAAAAATGCAACATTTTAATATGTCAAAATAGGAGGAAGCTTAAGTAACAGCAATGTAAATAAACTGTTGNCGCCAAAACTACACATCGCACGTGAATGGTGTTTGTATGTGGTAGTAGCCCCAAGTCTCCATTCGTACACTATGGGGGTTGCGTCTCGATAGCTATAAGGCTGCGGAAGATATGAGGCTGAAAGTGGTTGAAAGTGGTTTTCTATTTCGAATGTTTTGTTCGAATTTGTTCGAATTAAATTCGAACATAAAATTCGAATATTGGTTCGATTATAGAACAATTTGTGGCTACACGCCATATTTAATCATATATTTCGTATATAATTGTGTTATTTTATCTTGTATATTCCCCGCTTCACCTCTGTCTGTCCTATTTGTTTACCCTTCCTGGAATGTTCTCGTTTTTCTTTTCCTTGGCGCGGTGTGCGGGTGGGCTAACCCGAGAAGCAACGAAAGGAATGTAGCTCTGAGGGGAGGGAGCGATCGGGAGACTCGGAGGGGAGAACTCGAGGAGAGGAAAAAAGGGAGTGAGACGGGTAGGAAGGAACAGGAGGGGGAGAGCTAAAAAGAAGTCTCCCCGGCGAGTTTAGCATGTGAAGGTGAAAAGAGAACTTTGGAACGTGGAGAGCGAAAGGACATCTCCCCTGAAGGCTTTGCATCGT